TTCTGTAATCTTCGACGTTCACTATACTGAGCTCCAGTTAGTCGCCTTATCTCACTGCGCGAGAGACAACTGCGTCATGCGTCACGGGCAAAAGGTCAAAGGTAACAAGGTGACCAGAGGGCTTATTATGTTGTACAAAAAACCAAAACAAAAAAAAAAATTGACCAAAAGGGCACTTTGGGGCAAGGAGCAAAAAGGGCAGGTGCTCAAGCACCCCCAGTCCCCACCTCTGCATGTGCCTGTCGGTTGTGGTCGGGTCCTACTGTCATGATTGGTAGTGGTGAGCGGTGAGGGAGACGCAGGCAAGCCCAGGTTGTCATAATGAAGATGTTTAATGAATAAATTCCAAAGTAACAGATAGACGACGACAAGGTGCAAACAACGAGGACCCAACAACAGACAAAGACAACAGGTGGGCTTAAATACACAAGGAGGGTAATCAGGGAAAGAGAAACACCTAGGAACAATCAACAGGGAAGACAGGACATCACAGAGACTCACAGGGGAACAGGACACAGAAAAACAACAAGAAACAAATGCACAGAAACACAGAACCCAACAACATGCTGATTCCACAAATTAGAATATGACTGGAAAGTTTCCTTTGTCAGCAGTTCCATCACCAAGTGAAAGACATTATATAGATTATTTCCGTTTTAACATATTTATATTTTGTAGTATGTTTATTCCAGTAACTGTGTAACTTCATGTGCAATGGGTGACGTCGGTGCTACGTCATCTGAAACCCAGCAATTGCAAATGCAAAATAAAGCAGAAAATAGTGTTATTAAAGCTAAATAAATTTCTAGGTAACCAAATTAAATCTTGAGAAAAGACTAAAACACAAAACAAAAACACAAAACAGGTTTCTAAAAACCAAGACAAGCGCTATTAAAATCAAAATCAGAAACCAGGACTAAAACAATACATGTACATGTAGTAAAATAATGAATTGAATATTCCCAGGAAATAATTTCAGTTTTACTTGTCTGTTGAAAAAAAAAGCTTAAATGAAAGACCAAATCCATTGTTTAGCTAGCATTTTGAAAAACTGTGTAACTATTCTTTAAATAATTTTTATTGAATTATTGGTAAAAAGCAATACATTTTAACCTCATCTACAAAAGCATCAGTCAACTGTCTGCATATTACGAATTTCAGGGAGTTTTTGTTGCCAGCAAACAGAACTGTTATAAGAAGTGAGAATTCACAGTAAAATATAAATTATGAAAGCAGATCAGCTCAATAGAGTGCAGACACATTTTGTTTTTATTATTTGTAACAAACATTTTATTCTAGCAAATCCAAATACCTCCAACTTGGATGTTTCTGGGTTGGTGGCGGGAATCCTGGCCATCGTAGTGACTGCTGTTATCGCCACGGTCCTTGGAGTCTACTTCTACAAAAACAAGAAGAAACCCAGTACGAGGTCTGGCCGGTACGTTTACGTCAAAGTGCGAAATTTTACTGACAATTCAGAACAAATCGTCAAAATAAAAGGTAAATTTTAAACACAGTTGACACTAAAGCAGTGGTCTCAAACAGTATTCCTGGAGGGACACAGTCCTGAAACTTCTAGATGTGCCCCTCGAATTAAATGGTAGCCACACAGGTAAGCCCACTAGAAGGAAACAAACGCACCCAGTATAAATCTTTCATTCTACTTCCCGAGAGGTTGCCAGGTGATGGTGCTCTTTAGTTCCAAGCGTGAGCAGAAAATGATTCTCAAGCGAGCAGAGGTTTGCAAGCAGAAATGTGATCAGACAAGTTCTGAGCGCGAAGAGAAAAATTTGAGAAAGCACAGTGAATCTTTGAAAGAGAGCAGAAGTTTTGAGTACAGGCATTTACAAGTTTTGAGAAGAAAGACACCAAGTCCTGCTTTCCGACAGAAAATATGTGTTCTCAAATTATGGCAGAAAAATTCCCCCATAGAGGAGGCATTACCCTGCTGAAAGAGGCCACTGGCTGCTCGAAACAGGTTTTCTATAAAAGGATGTGTACAGTCTGTAGTGATTTGTGTCTGTAGTGATTTGATGAAAACACTAGTGTGAATTATCCTTCTCCATTAAATAAATGTACTCTAATGGTTGGATTTTTTTATATGAGCTTATCAAGATTTTACCCGCTTGCAAAGCAGGCATGTATCTATGTGTAGGAAACAGATGTGATTCAAGCTGATGTCATTGGTTTATGAAATGAATATATTTTTATCCAATTTTAAAACATTTCTTTCTATTGTTTTGCTAGTCAGCTTCCTCAGTTCTGTACTTTTACTTATGAGAGGCCCCATGGGCCAAAACTTACAAACTCTCTTACACATACTGTCAAACTATCAAACTCTCTTACACGTACTATCAAACTTTCTTACATGTACTATCAAACTGTCTCACATTTGCTATCAAACTCTCTTACATTCACAGTCAAACTCTCTTGCATGTACTATCAAACTCTGACAGAGTTTGATTGCAACGGAAGTTAACTTAAAATTTCAGTTTCTGATTGGACCCCAGGCAGGCTTTTCAAAATAAAAGCGGACCTCCGGTTTATGTTTGATCCATGTTTCTCTCCTGCGACTTGAAAAATGTAAAACTTTGTGTTAATTGATTTGCAAAAGGAAATCATGTATCTGAAAATAAACTAAAACATATTATGTGAGCAAAAAATTCTGTAAACCACATATGTGCTACCTCAATCAAAATTGCTGACATTTGACACGCAAAAAAATCTTTCAGATTACATAAACAATACCTTACCAGGTACTTCTCTCACTTCAGGATGACACAGGGACACCTATAAGACCAATTTTAACTGAGGTTGCACATATGTGCTTTACAGGATTTTTTGCCCACACGAGTCTATGGCATGGCGTTGCCCTCGGGCAACAAACCACATTTCTGTACCTCACGTTGCTCCTTTATTTTATTTTTTGGGGGGAATGATTTAAAATACCTCCAGACATATTTTTGTCCAAATAAAAGAGGTATTGAGGTTCATGTGACCTTTTACTTAGAAGAGGAGCAGTCCTTTTTATGAAGCGGAGGTGCATGCTACACCTTGCCTCCTACTTGTAAGTTATACATCACTTTTCTTCATGTTTAAATTTGGGTCACTCTAAAAATATTTTAATATCTGAGTATGTAAAGAAGCATTATATTATATTTCAAGACAATTTTTTTATAATTTGATAGCGAATGTGAGAGAGTTTGACTGTGAATGTAAGAGAGTTTGACAGTACGTGTAAGAGAGTTTGACTGTGGATGTAAGAGAGTTTGATAGTATGTGTAAGAGAGTTTGTAAGTTTTGGCCCATGGGGCCTCTCATTTTTATTTTATGTTCTTGCTCTGCTCTAGTGCTCCAGTCAGAATGGGAGCAGATGGGGCCCCAGTCCCGGAGGCGGTGCCCCTGTCTGGAGTGGTGGTCCCACCTCCACCGTTACCCAGCTACAATGAAGCTTTGATCCACAGTGGACAACATGATGCTCCTCCACCACCTTATTCAGGGTAAGTGGGTGGGGTAGTTAACATGTACAGACGTCCAATACGTTCAATACTCTGATGGAACTTAAGAAAACAAATGTGGTCCCAGTTATACTATGACGGCAAACAGACTTTGTTGAACATCTCTTAAACATTTACATGACTAGCAAAACACAGGGAACCCCTGGCTGGAGAGCTCATTCACCAGCCTCATTCATACAGTGCAGTGAACACTGTATTCAATAGCAGTGTTCACCGCAATGTCATGGGTTTTCAGTGGAATAACTCTGCCACCTAGTGTACAGGGGGCCAATCTCAACAGGCAGTCTGCATATTCATATTTGTTACAATCACAAAACTTCAATCTGAGTTCAAAAGAATTTAATGTGGAAAAAAAGAAACAAAGTTGTGTCGAACTAATAAGTGGATAGAAATAATACTATTTATGTGTCTTTTCCTTAATATATTGTAATGCGAAATAAACAAAACAATATTGTAGAATAAATGTCTGTTAACTGTGGCAAACCTTCATCCCATCTAGTTGGATACCCAGTAATAATATGTAGTGTACTAACTACTTTCAGAAGTTAACAACTTTGGTAAATGAAGTACGCCTGAGTGTGATCTATATGGCAGGCTATGGCACAGCTGCAAACTTACCAAAACTTAGCAGCTCATCTACTGACATGCCTGGTAAGGACTTAGCAGACAAGTGACTAAGGGTGTTTCCATCTGGTGGACGAGTAGACTCGGTTCGATTGGGGACCAACATTTCGACACTTGTTACATTTTCAGTTGGTGCGGTTCACTTTCAAACTGCACTGTGTCAAATGAGTTAATTTGACACAGTGCAGAAACACTGTGTCACTTTGACACCTGTTTCAGGCCTTCACTTGTAGTTGCACTGTATCAGAGACCACTGAAGGAAACAGCATGAAAACTTCTGAAGAAAACAGAGCACAACGTCTTTCTTCACAAAATGGAAACAAAAATGGAGTGGGATCAGATAGCGGTGATAGGATTTCTCATTTTTCTTTGGCAAAAGACCATGAGCCATTTCTTACACTAGCTCTAGACTCACATGTTTGTTTTAGTTGTATTTAACCAGAATGTCCTGAGCTTTATTCCGCTTTCTGCTTTTTGAGTGTTGAGTTTTGACTTTACTACACCTCTGTTGTATCGGGGACAAAGATGTTAGCAGTAGACCCTTTAGGTTTTGCAAACCCTAAAGTTTCCATTGATCCACAGACTTTGGAGGTCAAGTGAAAAACCTTTGCCTTCTCAAACCATTCTTGAAGCGTATTTACTTGGTGGAAAGTTTTCTATAAGGTTTCTATAAAGGGATCTACAGAGTGCAGAAGTTCCCAAACTGTGGGGCGTGCCCCCTAGGGGGGGCGCCGTGCCATTGCAAGGGGGGCGCGGGAAGTCAAATTAACTCATTTGACACAGTACAGTTTGAAAGTGAACCACACCAACTGAAAAAGAAACAACAACAAAAAAACATTAACGCTGTATGCGCTGGGTTTTTACCTTAGAATGGCCAACTCTCTGTTATTCCTCTGTCAATTTGATACAATAGGGGCTTCCGCACTTCCCATATCTGTGTCCTCTGTCACTTTTATCAGCAGTTAAAACTGTTTAATCCATTGTTAATATGTCATAACCTGTTTTTCTGAGCCGCTGTTCTATCAGATAGCCATACGCTGTCAGGATAGCATACACGCAGTGAGTATGCATGCCCGCGCATGAGCATTAAGAAGTCTGACCGTTAGCGGAGTTGTCAGTTCAGCATACGCAACAAGTTATGACAAAAATAAGTCATTAAATTGTTTATAATATAATAACTAGATAGATATACATGCGTTGTCGTGGTTTCAAAGTGTATTTAAAGCAGGTTCTAGCTGCAGCTGAGGTCAACTACAACACATGCCCGTGTAAAACTCATTAACCTACTTAACCGCTAGTCAGGATGCCATACAGCTGTTAATAACAAAGTGTATGAAGATCTACGTCATGATTCTATGTTGATGATTAAATAAAATCATATGGTAATAACAGCGTATAGATGTCTGAGCTAAGCGTATGACTATCTGACAACGTATGCTGATCTGTCAGAACACCGCCTTTAAACGCAACATGAGCGCTTCGACGCTCACGCTGGGTTTACACCTGTGCGGCAGTGAAGGAGACCTGCTGCTGCTGGGCAGAGCTACGCAGG